TCAGGATTTTGGATATAATTTGAGTGAAGAGTTTGTGTGATTTCGAGTTTTTGTGAAGGAGATATAGGTGTTGAAAGTTAAGGTGTCAAATTTGTACCTTTTGTCACTCTTTGAAGCATAACATATGCGTACACAGAGTAATGAAAGATCGGTGAATAGAGTTGGAAAGGACACTTTCTTGGCTATACTTTATATATATTGTTTGATGAATTTCAAGTCTAGATGAAGGAGTTCTAGACATTTGAAGACAATGCATGTAATTCAAAGGCAGTAAGTGAGTCATTTTGAGGATAGTAATGGTTGGAGCTATATCTTGAGTTCCTCGACAAAATTTTAGCTCAAAATTTCCATAAGTGTGAGTTATTAAGTTAAAAAGCTATAAATCAAAGTTTCATGGTATTTGAATACTTATTTTGTGAGATATAAAGAAATTAGCACATGGGTGTAAATAAGCTAGGATTTAAAGCTACTATTAGGATTTTGGCGATATCACAAGATCTATAACGAATTTGCACTTGAATTTTTTGTGGTAGTTTTTGAAAATATATCAATATTTCATATAAAATTTAGGATTGTTTGGATAGTCCGATCGTGAGATATGAACTGTTGAAGTTTAGGAAACATCTCTCATATATATATATATATATATATATATATATATATATAAGGTTTTAAGATCTTTATCATACATTTGAATGTTTTCTTGATACTTGGGCTTGTATTTTGATGTAATTACCCAAAAAAGAAAAATATTATATGTATAAACTTGGTTTTTTATATCTTAGACTTAATTGAGCATTTAGTGGCAGCCAAAAGTCCAGCGCTTTCTTGAGGCAAATTCTCTAAATCCCGATAACATTTAGTTTTCTTCACTAATAATATGCTATGTCTTTTAGCAAATTCTTCATCAAAAAAACATACTGAGGCTCCTGAATCTAGCAAGACAGAGGCTTTGTGATATTTAGGTCCTGGAATAACATTTATCGTAAAATATGGAGAGGGTTCTGAGGAGAGAATAAGGCCTTCACTAGCTGTTGTACAAGGTTCCAGCCGCACTATCCTTATTGTAGGTGGACAAATTTGTTTTCCAACATGCTATCTTCTTTGATTGCCGTACTCCTCATTTTATGGTTGCATTGCTTCTTTGGGCGATGTTGAGTAGTGTGCTTAGGTTCTCCTCAATATAAGCACAATCCTTCTTGATGACAACGAGTCTTTTCTTGCTCAATAAGAAGTTTAAAACATACCGCATCAATTTTCATATCTTCTACTTTTGAATATATGTATTGAAGAGTTATTGATGTTGTTATTGAATTATAATAACATTGAGGTCTACTTATATGATTTCCATATTGAAATTCAAAAAGACTATTGTCGCACTTCAAAGCAAAGTCAATTGTTTGACTCAATATTTGAGGATCAGATAAGTTGAGCATTAATTTGTTTACCTTATATTATAATTTATAGAGAAATTAGCTAACAAGTGCAACATCATCCCACTTGATATCAGTTGCAAGTTGTCAAAACTGTGAAGCGTACAACATTATTAATCGATTACCTTGTCATAAAATATGGATTTTGTTGGTTGCAAAACGAATTGCATCATGTTTTCTATACATAGATCAAAACTCTGCCAAAAAAGCTTTCAAATTATTCAATATTAAATCTCGTCATTCAAGAAAAGATGAAAACCATGATAATGTTGAACTTGAAAGAAGCATACCAATGAATTTAACTTGTGATCCTGAAGTTGAATAGCTTTGGAGTTGAAGTTCAATCACAAGTTGTACTTTATTAATAAATCCTCTAAACTTTGATCTAGTGCCACCAAACTTCTCGGGTAGGGCAATTCTAGGTTCTCTAACACTAAAAGGGCGTTCCATCATAGAAGAAGGAATATGATTTGGTGCAAATGTTGAAGCAGCTCCAATCATTTCTATATCTTCACTTCATGCCAATCTTGTTGATCTTTGTGGTGATAAATTGAGTTGATGCATCGCAAGCATTGACTCCTTCAATTGTTCTTGTATTTGTGCCATTGTATTCTTCATTTTAGCAAGTTTTATCATGATAACACTTAGGAAAAAAAAATATCTAATATCGCTCAAGACAAATAGAAGAGAGGACTTAAAAATAAAGAAAATATTAAAGACAATATCAGTTTGAAAGATGGTAATCTACAACTTCTAATACACTTATGTCTTATCAAGAGAAAGGTATAATCCAATGTTAATCAAGATTAGATAAAGCTTTGATATTGTAAGTTTATTCTTGTCAATCTGTGAAGGACAAGAACTTAATAAAGACAAATAAATAATTGAGACTTCTCTTAAAGAAAGATGACAAAATAGAAATAACTCAATATGTATATTAAGAAAGAAAATGGAATGGCTATTGCCAAAAGACAAGAAAACTAGATACCCTTGAAACTAGACTAGAAGCAAAAAAAGAGTTGACAAGAGTGAAGAGGCCTTCACTCTTATTTCTATATATAGTATCTGATTAGGGACTACATTGTCGTACTGTAAATGCTTACAATATGTAAAAATTATTTAAAACATATTATATGTTGATAAATCTAGATGTGTGTTAGAGTGGCTAGTAGATTAAATTAAAACGAATTGGTATAAGAAACTTTACTTTGTTTCTTTACTTGTTTTTATTTTGACATTAATATATACATATATATATATATATATAGGATCTAAATATTTAGTATGAAGCCTTGGGAGAAGGTGGAAGCCTAAGGATGAAAATCTAAACTAATAGGAGGCTAATTGGGAGGGATGAAAGCAAGGCATGGTCGGATGAAGGCATGAAATGGAGAACTTCATCCCTATTGATCGAATACCATACCCAATGGGCTTTGAGGAGGCTGCCCACGACCTTAAGAAGGATTTCGGTGACTTCAAGGAGGGCATTCGGAGGTTACAAGCTAGGATTATAAATTTTAGGATTTGAGGTACAATTTATATGCAAAAATTAGAAGATTTGGAGTAACGGTGAAGAAGTTATAGCCACTTGAAGTTAAGGTGTTAATTTAAGACATACTATTATTCTTTTGAAGATACAAAGAGTTTTATAGCAGCTTTTGAAGATCGGAAGATGCAATTGGAACGGCGATTTTAAAGCCTATATCTTTTATAGAGGAATTATTACTTTTGGAATTCATATGAAGGAGTTATAAGGAATTGAAGGTGGCGCTTTCAAATCAAAGGCAATAAGTAAACAATTTTATTTGTAGTAATGGTTGGAGCCATAACTTGAGTATTTGGACGAATTTTTGGCTCAAACTTTTTGGAAAATGTAAATTTTTGTGTTAAAAAGCTATATATACAAATTTCGTGGCATTTGAGCTTATATTTTGTGAGATATGAAGAAAATTACACGTGGATATATAAAGATAAGGGTTTGAAGCGACTATTAGGATTTTCAAGATATCTCAAGATCCGCAATGAATTTGCGGTTGAAAATTGTTGTAGAAGTTAATAAAAATATATCAGTACCTCATGTAAAATTTGAGTTTGTTTGGACGGTCGGATTAGGAGATATGAGGTGTTGAAGTTCGAAAAATCTCCACAAAAGAATATACAAGGTTTTAGAGGATTATATCATATTTTGGGTGTTGTTGGTTAATTGAGGCTTGTGTATTTGGTGTAATTGCTCAAAAAGGGAAAATTTATATATAAACTTAGGGCTTTCCTTATTTTCAAGTTTGATTGAATAATTAGTGACAGCCAGAAGCCCAACATTTTCTTGAGGCAAACTCTCTCTACCTAGACAATGTGGCGATGTTCTATAGGACCTCTAATATGTGTTGACTTTGTAGGACACATGCCTTGACTTACAAGGCAAGTTTTTCTATATATGGGCCACATAGTTAGCTTGAAGACCAAATTAACAACATGTGTGGCTTATGGCCAACTTTTTGACCATGTTTCTAATCCAAAAAGTCAATTAAAGACAACTATAAAGTCAAAGTAGCGTCTTTGAAGCTTCTAGAAAGCTTTTATAGCAAATATTATAGAATTAACTTATTTTTACCTACTTTTATTTACTTCTACTTATTTATACATGTAATTATTGGCTTACATGCATATATCCATGACAACAAGTCAAAACAAGGTGAAATTTGGCATGGTATTAGAGGACTTGAAGATCAAGCTATATATCAATATTGAGCTGAATTTAATAATTGGAGAAGGTGAAATTGATATTGGAACATCTGCATCTTCTATCAAGTTAGTGGCCAAGTAACATTAGCGTGGATTTTTAGACATTTTTTCACAATCTATACATTAGATTGGATTGACATTTTTTGAGAATATAAAAGATTTATAATGGCATTTGTGTACAAAATTTTGTACCAAGTAGACAATTAGATTAGAAGTTACAACTTATTGAAGCTCACTGACTAGAGTTAAGGCTTGCAAAGAGAAATCAAAATTGTCTAATTATGAAAGTAATAAGACAATTGGAGTTTGTGTATGGTTGAGGTTATTAGAAAGAGTGTTTTTGAGCTTTTTGTATTGGCTTTAAATACTTTTGAATTGAAATTCGAACTGCATTCTTCTTATATGGATAAAAACCTATTAAGATTTTTTAGATACTTACAAAACACAACTTCACCTTCTTTAACTAAATGCCAAGTGCATTCTCAAACAAGACAATACATAATACAACAATGTTGGAAATAAGAACAAGGAACAAATGCTAAAAAAGGAATGGAAAGCAGAAGTGGATACTAAAAAGAAGAATAGAAACAAGTGAATATAAGGATGGTTTTGACAGATGGATTGATTTAGTAAAAGCCTTGGTCAATTTAACATATTCCTAAATAAAACCACGTGTGCGAAAAAGATAGAGAGGGAGGGAGAGAAGGTGGCTTTGACGAACTCAACGGTCCGCAACCGCCATAGCCAGACAAGCACAAGCACAAGCAGGAACTGCAAATGACGGGTACAGTGGCTATGGCGGAAGCACGTTAAAACCCAAGCACCCTCTGCTAGTGCTCTTTTCCTACGCCTGCTCCAGCCCGTAGGTCTACACTCGGTGTGCGCAGTGTGAATAAGTAGTTTCGTTGGTCCTCAGCCTGGGTGACATTTTCTAACTGATGTGCACAGGAGCTCGGCGTAAGGGTTTCTGGATTCCTTGCAATTGCCGCGCATTGAGATATAGTCAATCACGCGAGATTGTTGTGCTAGAATTACGCTCGCTGTGAGTGGCACGAGAGTTTAGGGTTTTGATGACGTTTCCTGTTGGATGCTGGACGTTGTGACTTTGTCGCGGAGAGCGTTGTGTTGCAGCATTGGTAGAAGCAATGCTCTAGGGTGTGTACCTGAAATATTTTGTTGACTCCTCTTTCTTTTCTCTGTGTTTTTTTTCTTGTTTTGGCTTTCCTGTATGTAAGTTCGCTTTTCTACTCTGTGTGTACAGATTTATTCGTTACGGATCGAGAGTGTCTTGAACTTGAGCAGTGAAAGGGGTTTGTGCTTGCAGTTTTCATGTGTTTCTTTTTCCGTGGTAACAAAGCTTATTGCTTTGCTGCGCAGGGGCTACGTTTCAATACTGCTTGAATGCGAAGGACTTAGCAATTTGTAGCTCAATCAGGGTTTGATCGCTGGGCTACAGAGGTCTCGCTGTGGCCGGACTAGAGATCGTACATGTCAGCTCCGAGGAAATATCATTACATTGACAAGGACAAGGTGGGGTGCTTTGTAATTTTTGATAATGTATCAGCATGTGTACCATGTGGTGGATCATCATGGTTTAAACTTTATTTTACGGAATGACTTACAGAGGTTCTTATAGCACCGCACGGCGCGCGTGCGTGAAGGCGCGTTTCGGGTTCTAGGGTTGATGCGAACGAGGGAGTTTCAGCGTATTGAATGCTGTGCTATTTATCCGAAGATACTGGAGCTGCAGGTTGACATCTGACGGAATCTGAAGGAACTGCTGCAGGCATTTTCCATTTCACACCTTATTTTCCCAGAGTTGAAAGCTCTTTGGCAACAACAATGCTTGGACCCTCTTCTTTTGAAAGGGTTCAGTCCTTGTCAGAGCAAGGACTTCTGGAAGTGCCAAGCTCCTACATCCGACCTGCGGAGGAACGCCCCAGTATAAGCGAGCTTGTAGGGGAGATTCCTGTAATTGATTTAGCAGACGGGAGTTTAGATGTTACTGCACAAATTGGGCAAGCTTGTCGTGAATGGGGCTTCTTTCAGGTCTTTTTTCCCCTCTGATTCCTCGAATGGAAAACTCAATTTCTTTTTTTGTTTTGTATTTTGTATTGTTTGTTCTGTTTTTATTTTGTTTTCAAAGTAACAAATTATGTTGATGTTTTGAAAGATCTATATGGTTCATGTGGAATTTATGACTATGTTCTAAAATATATATAGTTGAGGGATAGTAATTCATTCGTGAAAACCTACACAGGTTGTGAATCATGGAGTACCGAAGGAGCTACTTAATCGGATGCTTGAACTTGGTGCACATTTCTATGCCAAGCCGATGGAAGAGAAGCTTGCATATGCATGCAAGGATCCGGGGACAGCTCCAGAGGGGTATGGTAGCCGTATGCTTGTGAAGGAAGAGCAGGTGATGGATTGGAGGGACTATATTGATCATCACACGTTGCCACTCTCTCGTCGTAATCCCTCTCGATGGCCTTCTGATCCACCTCACTATCGGTGAGCTCGTTGAACCCTCTCGTAGTGGTATCAACACGGGATTCGTCATTGATCTTGACTTGCATCTGGTTTTGAAACTACGGATTGTTTGCAAGTTGGCATTCAATTCTGCGACCTGCTCTAGTTTCACTGCTTATCCTTCGCTTACAACGCGGATGCCCTCGTTAACTGACTCGTGGCGATATTTTGGTTTCGTCAGGAGCTCTATGGAGGAATTTAGTGACGAAACTTGCAAACTGGCGCGGAGGATATTGGGGCATATTTCAGAGAGCCTTGGATTGCCAACCCAGTTCCTCGAAGACGCTGTCGGAGAACCTGCCCAGAACATCGTTATCAACTATTATCCCACCTGCCCACAACCACAGCTCACACTCGGTCTCCAGGTACTTATATCTTGTATGTCCAACAAATGGAAGAGCCTCGCAGGCCTTGATCCTTTCTTCTTCCTCTTCTTCTTCTTCTTCTTCTTCTTCATTGTAGCCTTTCGGCGTCTATTCATCTAGCTAAACACAGTTATCCACGCTTTGTTGGCAGGCGCATTCAGACATGGGAGCCATCACACTGCTCTTGCAGGACGATGTTGCAGGATTGCAAGTAAAGAAAAACAACGAGTGGTCCACTATACAGCCAATTCGCGACACATTCGTCGTCAACCTGGGCGACATGCTCCAGGTATCCCGTTCTATTGCACTCCAGTGTGTGTGTGTGTGTGTGTTTGTTTGTTTGTTTGTTTGTTTTTTTTTGTTTTTTGTTTTTTTTGTTTTTATTTTTTATTTATTTTTGTTTTTTTGTTTTTTCTCTCTTTATCGTCTTTATAGTAGAGATTTGCTTCCATGAGAATACCATAGTTACAAGCTCAGTAGTGAAAGAACCTAGAACTTTTCTGGCACCACAGATTTTGAGCAACGACAAGTACAGAAGTGTGGAGCACCGTACAGTGGTCAACGGCGAAAGAGCAAGAAAGTCGGTGGCCGTTTTCTACGACCCAGCTAAGAACCGGCTCATCAGCCCTGCTGCTCCGCTTGTGGACAAAGACCACCCTGCATTGTTTCCAAGCATTTTGTATGGGGATCATGTTTTGAACTGGTACTCCAAAGGACCAGACGGTAAGCGAACCATCGATTCCCTCATCATCGAATGATACAGGATTTCATGAAATGGAATGCTGCCTATGTATAGCCCTTCTTGCAGCCTGAAGTGGAGCCTCTTCAGTGGATTCGAAAGTGGCCAGGAGACTGGCATCACCATAGCCTAGTTTTTTGAAGCTGAAGTAAACACAGTTTTTTTTTTTTGTTTTCAAACTTGTGTAAGTTGTAATTTTCTAACCTCATAAACATGAGAACAATTGTGTGTTCTCTGCAGTGGGATGCTCAATGTGTAGCTAGTCATGCATTGGATTTGAAACCGTGGTTTTAGTGTGTAGTTTCAGTGGTTGTGGTTTAAGGGGCACTGTATACGTAAAAGCCCTCTTTGAAAGGCCGTCATCCAAAGGTTCCATGAAGGGCCCTTGCTTACTGAACAAAAACCATCCATTGGAGGTGTCTGCCTTTGGAGATAGTGGAAAGCAGTAGAAGTAATTGAAAGGAGAACTTCAATGTTTTATTATAACTCAAAATAGATCAAATTGTGCCAGATTTTGTTATAATTGCTACCCTTCTATTTAACTTTTTCACTCATGTAAAATCCATTGTAGTTTTGGAATGGTCATTTTTCTTTTTTCTTCTATTTTCATGATTTTGTTTTGTTCTGAGAAATTCTAGCACCATAGAGAAGAATTTGTTTAAAAGAGAAAAACAGAGAATTTGTTTTTGTGATGGTTATGTATTGATGCTTGTAAATGATATAAAAACTCATTATCGATATGTAAGCAGTGTGGTATATGAAGCATAGTCAAATATGACATCACTAGTGATATACATAATTTAGACATAAGAAATTGTTGTATTAGTTGGTACTAAAGACCTTGTGGTTTTATAGGTCAATTTTTATTGGAATTGTATACAAAAAAGACCTTTAAAGAGAAAACTTGTATTTCACATCTAACTTTCAGATTTTTGAGTGAAAAGTTAGGATTTGTTTTTGAATTAAAAAGATCCAATACTTTTTTTTAAAAAAAAAATAGTTGAACCAGAGTAACAATGCCATTATGTCGACTTGCAACTAGAAATGGATTGCATGGTATATGAGGATTATTTAGGACCATCAAAAATATTTCATTAGTATTCTTATACTCTCTCTATTTATTGGTGGTGAAGATTATTATTACCATAAATTATCCTATTTAGTTTTGTTATAAGGTATTGTAGATGTACATTGTATTTTTTGGAATTCTAGATTTTGGTGGATATGTAATCTTCATAATTAGATGGTATTTCAATAAATAAATAAAAGAACTTATATAGAAGGAAACTTTTTACAATATAAATTGATTGGAGATGTAGAATATCTAGTGAGGTTTTGGATGTAAAAATTATTTAAAGGATCAAGTAAAGGTTTTTTGTTGTAAGTATAAAATTAGAATTTCATCCAATCTTCTATTCAAATATGTGTAGAAAGAGCCTTTCAAATTTTAAAAAATTGATGGAGGTTCATTTTGAAACACATAGGTTTCTTGTTAAAAATAGTGTTGAATATTGTAATGGATATATTGTATTATATAATATACTACCAAAAACTTGTATTGTTGAATATTACAATCTTTGGCACATCCTTCCATTATCTTGTCCATCCATGCTTCCTTGTTCCTATATTTCTATGGTTTCCATATGCTTTGGTTTCTTTGTTTCCATATTCCCTAGTTCTCATATTCTCTTGTTCTCTCATTTGCATGTTTGTTCTCATATTCCTTAAGTTTTCTACATTTTCCACATTTCCTTCTTCACCGCCAATCAAAAGGCTTTTTTTGTCTCTTTGTGTTATATCCAAGCTAACATGTATAATAGATCTATTGTAAGTAGAGATAAATTCAATGGAAATTAGATTTGCAAAGCTAAGAAAAATCATTAATAAAATAAAATAAATAAATAGCTAGATTGTAGTAAATTAAAGACAAAGAAAGAGAGAGAGAGAGAGAAAGAGAGAGAGAGATGCAAGAATTACAAGAAAATCATACATCAATTGCTAAAAGAAAAAGTAGGATTTAAAATTTATATCCAAGGAGAGTTTTAAAGATTGAAAAAAATTAATATTAGAAATTTTTAGTAAAGAGTATAAAACAATAATAATAATAATAATAATAATAATAATAATAATAAAAAATAAAGGATATTTAATGCAAGAAACTACAATGAGCTATTAAAAAAATCACTCAATCTTTAATTAAATGTAAAACAATATTACAATCTTAATTTAAATTTTTAGATTCTAATGATTAAAAAGACATGTATGAACACATAAAATTTTTCTAGTATTATGCCATACAACAAAATATTAATTTTATAAAAATTTGTTAATAAATTCAAAACTATAATATTTTAAAATTCTTTCAATTTTTTTTTAATTCTTATTTTTGTAGAAATTAGGTTGGATTTATTTAATTTGTGAGTTATTATGATATGTAATTACTTTATACATTACTACCATCTTTATTGTCCTTAGATGCACTTGTTGGAATTCGATTTTAAACATAAGTTTTATCAAGATTCCAAACATTTATTTGGTCAAAAACTTGCAATCTTGATGCTAATTAGATCCTAAAATCTCATTAGGTTTTTTATAATTCTTATAATCATTATACAATATCTTGTATATTATATATTGTATTTATTCTTATATAACTCATGCACCCTATTAAATCTATATAAGTTGCTATTGTACTTATGGTTTGAACCAAGTATTTACTTCTACAAAAAAATCATGTATTATAATTTGGGTAAAATATAAAGACAAAAATGGTAAAAAAAAAAAATATTGTATAGGCCATAAAATACTATTAAAAAAGAAATATTATTCAACAATATTAATGAATAGATGATTGTGTTAATTAGATGAAAAAAAGACATGAAATATCAATTAAAATAATCCTTAGGTAGAAGGTAGGATGTATGATTAGTAGGTAGAGGTTTTAAGAACAAATTTGGCAAGAACATCTTACTTATTGCAAGTATTAACCCCACCTTCAAGAGTATAGGGGATCTTTTAAGACCTTTTTGGCTCCTAGAAAAGACAACAAAAGGCAACCAACATATAAGGTTTATTTTTTATTTTTTATCTAAAGTAAGAAAATTTTAGATTTTTTAGTTTCTAAAAGAATAATATATATATATATATATATATATATATATATTGGTTTTCTTAAAAGTTTTTATTCATTTCTCTTCAAATAGTAATTAAAGGCTCTACCTCAAAATCTTTCTATTTCTTAGTAGTATTTTCTTCTTTTTATCATTTTCTTTTAAAAGTAAAATCTTCATAATTTATATCAATAAATAATTTTTTTTCTTTTTTTCTTACAATCTTTGTATTATTTGCTTTAATTGAATCTTATATTTTATATATATATATATTTTAAAAATACCTTCTATAATTTCTTTTATTAAACCATCTTTTTGTCTAATAAGTAATTTTTTTGTGGTAATTAATTCTTCTTCAACCATATGTATAATTTTTTTAAAGAATATATTAGTTTAAAAAAAACTCTTTTTACCTTCTTACAAATTTAAATCACTAAAAATAGGTATTATTATTGAAGAATCAAAATCTCTTGTATTTTCTAGACCATACGAATTTGACCTTTGTATAAACATAGGTGAAGAAGAGTGTTAAAATTCACACATTTAAGGAGAATTTTTTTTCTAAATTTGAGATCTAAATTTTAATGAAGTATAGATAAAATATTTGTATTATTGACATATAGAAATAAGTAGTTGGAGCCATTTTTAGGAAGTTTTTAGAAGTTTCTAAAATTAGAGCTAAATTGGTGGTCTATACAAGTCCTACCATAAAACATTCTAAAAAGGATTTAGTGTGGTTATGTAGGTGGGATCCGCCATTAGGAGCATTCAAAAAAGTTCCATAATGGTTGAACAAAGTATAAATAGGTACTACTTTGGGACTACCATAAGTTACTTGTAAGAAATGAGTTGGAAGAAGAGAAAGCTTTACAATAGCAAAGTTCAGTAACAAAATTGTAGCAATGGAAATATGGCAAAGCAATTCCAAATAGACTCAAATACAACACCTCCTAGGCTAGATAGATACTTTGTAAAGACAAATTGAAGTCTCTAGGACAAGGTAATTGATATCTATTAGGCTAAAATTGAACAAGCCCAATACATATTCTAGAACTTTAAGGCAAGAAGATGTATGCCAATGGCTCTTCAACATTCAACAATACCTCTATCAAAGATATTATATATGTAGCCAACTATTTGATAGGTACAACAGCCATTTGGTAGCAACATCAAGTTCAAAGCTATGGAGTTCAACGTGGATTTTGTGACTAAGAGGAATTTGAGACCAAGCTTAGGAGTCAATTTTGATCCATCAATGCCGAGAAGATAGCATGCAATTAGTTGGCTAATCTTACACAATCCAAATCAGTGCAAGATTATATCTCTCGATTTGAGTTCCTAGGTCTCCAAATTAACAATGTTTTAGAAGCAAAGATGATAGATTGATTTGTATAAGGGTTGAAACTTGTGGTCTAATGAAAGGTAGAATTAAAAGATTTAAAAACATTTGAAGAAGAAATTATGATTGCAAAGAGGGTCTATGCTATAGATTTCAAAAAATATGGAACACAACCTAAAGTACAAAGTCCTATGCTACTATCCAACATAATGACATAACAACCAATGCTGATAGAGATTGATGTTGTATAAGAATTATTAATACTACAAATATGACAAATGTTGGCACAAAAGAAATTATGTTTATATTATTGAGAGCTAGGCTATCAGTTCGAAAATTATCCAAAACATCAAAATTTAGGCACTAAAAAATCAAGGTGGATTTATAATCTCAAGACTCACTAACTCGATAGCAAAATAAAGTAGGAAAACAAGGCTCTTCAATAAAGGGATCAAAGGCTAGTATTAAGAATAATTGTTGTTTCTTAGAGACAAATGGCATGGCTTCAAAAAATTATCAAAAGAGTCAACTAGTGTATTTAATGGGTCAAATAAGAAGATAGTCATATCAAATGATTATAGATTGTCTCTCTACAAAAAATTATATCTTGAGTGGGATTATTGATTGATTTGGGATTAAAAATTAGGTAATCAAAGTACAAAGTATATATCTTATAGATGACTAAGAGAATGTATTGGATGATATATCTGAAGAAGAAATCTTGAGGTTGAGTGTCATCTATGCCTGAAGAAAAAAAATGATGATAACAAAGCTTAAATATGATGTTATCCTTCATATGCTATAGTTAAAGGTGGAAAATAAGTAAGTTGATTGGCTAGCAAGGATAGTCTCTTTCAAAGTTGGTGGACGCAAGGTGACTCTTTATACCTCCATATCAAATGAGGTAGAAAAAATGAACTGCAGCTAAAGGCTTATTTGTAAAGGTGACATTTATAAAGAAGCAAAAACAACATAAGCAATCGATATAAATATATTGTCATTCCAAATCTTGCTTCAATGGTAGGAAAGATAATTGAAGGAGTAGAATAGGCAGAGCAATTCATATGTAAATATCAGGATGTCTTTCCAATCAATTTATCTAGTG